TACTTTGTAACTGTGTTTGAAGTTGTAGTGAAGACATTGTTAGGTTTATCTGTTTTTTTAACCATCTCAAAATTCATTAATTCAATTTTTTTATGTCAACTTCAACTAATCAAATTATTACAAACGACACCTTAGAACTCCTTGACGAAGATGATATCTTTGAAGACTTTAATGGTTTGCTTTATTTATTTATTCTATTATTTCTATATTCATTTATTTAGATTTTAAAACAAAAGATGTAGATGATTCTACTCTTCATTGGCAAGACAATTGGGAAGACGAAGGTGCTGATGAATTTACAAATCATATTCGTTCATCACTTCTTCATTAATTTACTTCATATACTTCATCCTTTTATTTTATTATAATTTTAATAAAATTTAATTTAAAATAACTATAACAAAACTATTCGATTTATCACTTTCTTTAGTTTTTTTTATTTAAATTGTAAAGCCATCATCTTCATCATAATCAGACACTTCGCTTTGACTTTCATTACTTTCATCTTCTGAAATCGTAACATCTAACTCATCACTCTTATCTTCTTTACCACCACTAATACTAAATTCATCTAAAGGATTAAATGTTGAGCGTTGTTGTCTTGTTTGTCTAAATGGAATAGCAATATCTTTTAATGGTTCAATATCACTAAATTCTTGTACTTTAGGTGTAAATTGATAAATAGCTTTTGGTGCCTCTTTAGGTTCAAGTTTAATTGGATATTCTTTTAAGTTTTCTAATTGACCATGTACAAGAACATTATTATTTTGGAAAAATTGAAGATAAGCACACCACAACGGATTTTGCATTAATGTTTCTGGATTACCTACAACCACTAGTCCATATTTTGCTCTAGTAATACTTACATTTAATCTTTGAGGAATAGAAAGAAATCCAATGTCTGATATTTCATTTGAACGTACAGTAGAAAAGATAATAAAATCTTTTTCTCTACCTTGGAAAGAATCAACAGATGCAATTTCAATATCATTTAATTGAGCTTCAGAAATTCTTCTATTTAATGACAGCCTTGAAATAATAGCTTGTTTTTGAGCAATATAGGGTGTAATTACACCAATTTGAGATGGACTAACTTTATTTCCTAACATTTTAATAATGATCTGTTCTATAATAAAAACTTCTTCATCATTTATGTAAGAAGTGCCATTAGAACCATATGACTCTTTTCCATTTGCAGCAATAAACATCATAGGTTTATTTTGTTTAAACCAGAAATATTTCAATGAAGGGAATTGTCTTTCAAGTGCTGTAACACCATTTTGTAATACACCATCATAAAATGTTTGAGAACTAAATTCTGATAAACATGGATGCATACGATATTGGAATTGAAGTCTATATGGCTCATGTCCTAATTGTAATAATCTTGAAAACATAGGAAGTCCAAGTCCATACTTTTTTGCTCTTGAAGAATTAAGAATTGGTCCTAATTGACAATGATCTCCAACAAGGAAAAGTTGTTTTACAGAATTATTTAGACATATTAAACATTCTGGCTCATCTGCTTGAGTACTTTCATCTATTAATACAGTATCGATATGTTCTAATATCCCACTTAATCGAGTGTCTAATGCTCCACAACAAGTGCAACAAATAACGTCTGTCTCTCTCAAAAGAGAGAGTTCAATTTGATTTATTCTTTTTTGAATTGTTGCTGTGCTAACAAAATCAAGAGAGTCTGGGTCATCTTTGTATTCTTGGTATAATGCAAACATTTCTTTATCTTTTTTCAATTTCTCTTCCATTAATGTTTTTAACGAATAATCGTATAACGACTCATCTTCAGTTTCTCTAGATTTACTATATACTCTAATCACTTTTACTCCTGTTTCAGTTATTTTTGTTCCAAGTTGATCTACAGCAATATTACTTGGAGCACAAACAAGAACTTTCTTTCCAGGGTTTGACTGTACAACATGATAAACAATAGTAGCTGAAGTAACTGTTTTACCAGTTCCAGGAGGTCCTTGAATAAGACTTAATTGTTTTGTAAATGATTTTCTTACAACATCAAATTGAACTTGGTTTAGTGGAGGAAGATTAGGTGCACTTAACGACGCTTCAGTTGGATGACTATTTAAATACATTTCTTTTTCTTCTTTAAATTGTTGTTCCATTTGTCTGTCCATTTCAGTTATTGGCATTCCTAATAACCTATCTCTTAAATATTTTGACATAGACGCTTCAATTGGTTCATTCTCTGTTCTACAAAAATCAAGTAATGCTTCTTTTTTTCTATGAAATGGAATAGAAAGCCATTGAAAACAAATAGAATATTTAAATTGTTGGTTTTGAGGAGTAACTATTTGTTTTTCTATTGGAATATCTGCTTGTCTTGATAATAATACTGTAACATCCTTTCCATTAATTGATTGAACACCTCCAACTAAAAAAGTATTAATCTTTCCAATAAATTCTTTCCTTTCATGTTCATTAAATTCACTATAGTTATGAATTTCATGAACGTCAATTGATTTATTTTTCATTGGAACATAGAAGAATAATACATCACTAGGTGTAATTGAAATCTCTTCATTTAATGGAACTTGAAAAGTAGCATGAACAACCTTTTTGATATCTTTTTCTGTTCTTGTTCCATCAAAAGTTAATGTCATATTAGTAAGATGTTCTGATTCTCTTTTTTGTCTATCAGCTTCAGCCTCTAATCGAATAAGAGGATAATAAGTATGATAATATTGTTTACAGTCATGATAATTTAAATAAATAGGATGTAATTCTTCAAACGTTTCTGTTTCTTCTTCAAACTTTTTTCTGTTATTTTGTAACTCCCATGCCATTTTCCTCATTTTTTGATATGAAATACTTTGAACAATACTCATTTCTTCATTACTTGGTTGTGGACATATTTCATTTACAAATTTTCCTTCACAAACTATACTTGTCCAACTATCTACATCCCATCCAAGATTTTTAATTGTAGTATTATATCTACAAGTTCTACATAAACAAGTTGTCATATCAGAATTTTGTTTTACTTGAATAAATCCAAGGACAAATGGATTTCTTGTTTTACATAAATTACATTGGATATATTCATCTGAATATTTAAGGTCTTTATGTTTTAATGATGATGCATGATGAATAATATGACTTACTTTTCCATTTCCAGTACCATTACAAAAATACTTCCCACATCCACATCTTATAAGTTTCTTTTTATCAGCCAATCCACAATACCAACATCGTACTTTGTCTTTAGTCGTATTACTCATTATTAGGTTTTAAAAGTTCTTTTTTCTCTTCCCTTTTTTAAGTTCTATTAACTTTTTTTAAAATAATTTAATTTATTTACTATAATTAAACTATTAATTATAATTTAAAAATGTTTCTTTGAGTCTTTTATCTCTTCTTTAATTGCATCATGCTTACGATTTTCTTCCTTCAATATAAAAGTCATTGTTTTAATATCATCTTTAAACAGAATTGTTTCTCCATCCTTAAATCCTAATTCAATCAATTTTTTTTTACCTACTTTTTCATACATCTGAACTTCTTCTTTTTCAAGGTCTTCTCCTGATTCATATAATAATTGATCTCCTTTAAGTACAGTTGGATTAATTAAACTACACCTTTCTGTAATTTGGTCAATTATATCTTTTAAAGTAAATACCTCTAAATCACAAATAAATTCAGAAACTTCATTACCACAAATATAACATTGTTTATTTGGTTGTGAAGTTTTTTCAAATGTAAGGAGATGATTTTTTAATGGTTTCTTTGCTAAATAACATATTCTTAAATTTGTTTTATTTTGACTTAATACTTTCATCATTTCAATAATCATTAATCCAGAAATAATTGAATTAGTTGTTGGAATGGCTGGAATAATATTACCAGCTTTTTCTTGTACTTCAAATCTACTAATCCTTTGAAGATTAAAAATTGCACATCGAATATTTGTACATGCAGTAATAAAATCAATCATATCATCATCATCCTTTTCAAATTCAAATGGTCCTTTATTTTCATATCTTTTTTGAAGAATATTAAAACTTTTATAATACAATTTAACAAATGGTTTAACTTCTTTTAATGGTGATGTATCTGAACAATTAATAATTTCTTCATACGTCCATATATTTGGTTTTTTTCTTAATTTCCATAATTCTTCTGACTGATGTAATACTTTAATATCTAAAGTAAACACTTTGTCATAAACTTCTTTCCATCGAGTTGCTGTTGATGCAAATTGAAAATCATTTAAATAATTTCCATCATCAGCATTACCAAATAATTTTTGTATTAATTGTTTACTCCAAAATACACAATGAACAGCTGTACTTGGATTAGATCGAATTGTACATACTGCATATCCTTTTGGAGGTACTTTTGGTTGACATTCATAACATTCTGTTTCTTTTGGAATAATAGGTGTGGTTTGACCAATAAATCCAGATGTTCCACCATCTATTAATGGGACATTAGCACAAACACACATTCTATTAACATGTTTACGAGCATTAAGATTATCTAATGCATTAATAACAATATCAAATGTTTTGTAATAATCAATATTAAATTTATTATTTTGTATTTCACAATGATGTGCAATAATTTCCGCTTCAGGGCCATATCTCTCTTTTGACACTTGTGCTGCAATAACTGATTTTGGCTGTCCAATATGGTTCTTATTAAATAAGAATTGTCTATTTAAATTTGATAAGTCAATTACATCTAAGTCAATAACTTCTAAATGTTTAAAACCAATAAGTAAAATATTTTTTAATACTTCACATCCAATTCCGCCAGCCCCAACAACAAGAATTCGTTTTTTCTCTATTTCTTCTTTACTTAGGGACATGACTTATAATTATTAGTTCTTTTTTTTATATTTTTAATTTCAATTTTAAATTTATACTTAAACTATTTTGTTTTTAATATTCTATAATTTTGTTAAAAATCAAAAAGAATTGAAAAGGAAAGTCACAATCTCTTAATTTATTTTATTTAAAGTTATCATGAAAGCACTTTTATTCATTTTGTTTGCATTATTACTAACTGTTCATGCCGAAGAAGATTCCTTTGACTTAGATGAAAATGTAGAAATGGAACATGAATACCAGTTAGAAGACAATGAATTAGAAGAAGATGATGATGATGAATTTGAATTAGAAGACGAAGATGATGATGATGATGATGAAGACGAAGAAGATGAAGAAGAAGATGATGATGATGACGAAGAAGAAGAAGAAGATGATGATGAATTTGAATTAGAAGATGAAGAAGATGAAGATGATGATGATGAAGAAGATGATGATGATGAAGATGATGATGAAGATGAAGAAGATGATGATGATGAAGAAGACGAAGAAGAAGATGATGATGATGAATTTGAATTAGAAGATGAAGAAGATGAAGAAGATGAAGAAGATGATGATGATGATGATGAAGATGATGAAGATGATGAAGATGATGAAGATGATGAAGATGATGAAGATGATGATGATGATGATGAAGATGAAGAAGAAGAAGATGATGATGAATTTGAATTAGAAGATGAAGAAGATGAAGATGATGATGAAGACGAAGAAGACGAAGATGATGATGAATTTGAATTAGAAGATGAAGATGAAGATGAAGATGAAGAAGAAGATGAAGATGATGAAGAAGAAGAAGAAGAAGATGATGATGAAGATGAAGAAGAAGATGATGATGAAGATGATGATGAAGATGATGAAGATGACGAAGATGTTGATGAAGATGACGAAGATGTTGACGATTTTGAATTAGAAGATGAAGAAGAAGATGATATGACTACATTTGATGAAGAAATGGAAAACGAAGAAGATTGTCCTTGTACTAAATATCATTAAAACGAAATCATTTTATGAGAGCTAAACGAGGTTATCTTTAACTGGTTTAATTTTTAATTGTAAAAAGAACAAACTAAAAAAATTAAAAAGTATGCAACAAGCAGATGATAACTTTATTTCTACAACATTTCCTTTGGTACCTTTAACTCCACAACAAATAAGAGAGACAGAGCTTCCATTGAGTTTGGTTGTTAGACCATTTTTACATGAGGTGCAACACATTCCAATGCAATTATTAAGAATTCCGAAATGTAAAATATGTTCTGCATATTTTTCACCATTGACCCATTGGATTTGTCCTCATTCAAGGTATTATTGTTGTGTTTGTCATCAAATAGTTGCAGACCAACCTCAACGGTTTATTGACTGTGATAGAAATAAAGAAATAATTCCAGAGTTAAATAATAACTGTGTTGAATATTCAGGAGCTCGAATCAAAGAAGAAATTAACTTTACAAATGTCTTAGTAATTGATCAGTGTATTGTTAAAGACATGCAACCGTTTATACAAACAATTAAAAATTCATTTACTATTTTAATATGTTCTAATACTATATCAACTATTGTTAAAGGAACAAGTGGATATACAGAAAAAATCATTTTAAATTTAAGTGAAGATGATATACCTCAATTATGCTCAATTTATTCTCCTACTAAAGCATATAAAATTGGAGAGTGGTGTAAAAGTTATAGAGGAAATGTTTTTAAAGGTAATTATTTACTTGAAAAATGTTTAAATATTGCGTCAAAAATTATTGGAAAATATGGGGTTATTCAGTGTTTTCATTCTCTTAATTATGAATATATGAAATCAAAATGTAATAAAAATCAGATGAAAGATTTTGGAATTGATTGTATGAAAAAAGCAATAATGATAAATCATTATTTAATTGGAACCACAAATACTATTGATTGTTCTCTTTTACGAATTCAATCAAAATTAACAAATGGAATTTTTATATCAAATATGTTAATAGATTCTTGTTTTATTGAAAAAATTAATAGAACTATAGTTGGATATGATGGAAATATAAGAATAAGAACTCCTGATAATATTGATGTAATAAAAGCATTTGGTTGTGTTGTAGGAGATAATTTTGGAGATTGTAAAGTTGGTGTATTAACAAAAGATCTTACTGTAATATTTAAATTAAGAGAATTAGAAGAAATGGTTAAAATAAAACATCAATACCAAGTTATTATTACTTTCATTGGTATTAATGGAACAAAAAGAATAAGAGTTTTAAATTTAGGAGTAACATTTGCTCCACACATTTCAGATGCAATAAAATCTGTTCAACCTCAAATGGTTATATTAACAATGATTAACTCAAGTTTGTTTATTTTAAATTATAGTTAATCTTTCATAATTTATTTCATAGTGGCAAATGACTATTCAAATGGAATGAATAAAAAAGATATTTTAAAGAAATATACCGATAAATTAGTTACATTTCTATCATACATGGGAAAAAATCAACCATTTTCACAATTCTTTCATGTTTTTTTTAAAAAATTTATGGAAGTTGAAGGAGTTGAAGAACAACAACTTATTTTTTCAATGGAAAAAGTTCATAGAAATGTTATTACAACACTTGTTCCAAAAGTTGTACTTGTAAAACCTCCAAATCAATTTTTAATTATTAGTAATGAAATTTTAGTAGTAAATTGTGAATTAATGGCTTTTTATGCTGAAGAATTAAAAAAGAAATTCGGTGTTCAAGCTATTGAAAAATCTTGGCAATTAAAATTAAATTTTATTGAATCAGTACTTCACCAAGCAGATAATTATCAATCATATTTCAATTATCTAATGTCTTTGACTTAAAATAAATGTACTTTTATATAACTCTTCTTTTTTTATTTTATTTAAAATGTAACAATATAAGAAGTAAAATAAAGATGGAATGATAAAAATTGAAAATGATTTTAATTATTAAATATCTTATTATTTTATTATTTTTAATCTTTCTTCCCTTCTAAAAACATTTCAACCACTTCATTTGTATTGTTGTTTATTTTCATTTTATTTTATTATTTTATTCCCCATTACTTCATTCATTACATTTATTTTATATTTTATTTTAGTTATTCTCAATATATATTCATTTATTAATTCATATGTATTTTGTTTATTCTTATTTACTTTATAATTTATTATTATAACTTCATTTATTGTTATTTTATATTTACAAATAATACGTCATTTTATTTATTATTTGATGTAATTATTGAATTGTTAATTCTTATAAATATACAACTTTCTTGAATTAATTTCATTGTTTTATATTCATCTCTTTATATTATTATTCTTCATTATTTTATTTGTTATTTTCTTATCATTTCATTTTCATACTATCAATATTATTTCACTATAACTTCTTTGTTTATTCTCATAATCCTATGAATTAAACATTCTACTTGTGTTATGGTATTTGAAGTTATACTAACAATTTTTATATTTATTATAAGAGTGTGTAAATGAGAATTGATTATGATGTTTATAATTATGATAAAATGTAATCAAGTGAAAATTGTTATTTATTTGATAATGACTATAACTATGTTAATGGTAATGTTATCTACCTCTATTTGTTGATGCATAATTATTTCTATTTGATTTAAGCACTAAGAAAATTTTAAAATTATAAAATAATTTAAAAGGAAAAGAAGTATTAATTAATTAAAAAATTTTGTAGATTATATAGTTTTAAAGTAGTTAAAATTATAATATTTTAATTTAAAAAGAATTATCAATTAGATCAAGAATGCAATCATGAAAACAAACAATGTAATAAATATTCCTGACACTCCAGCTTCAACAGTGATTGGATTATAATAATAAGGATAATATCCAGCTGGCTCAGCAACGATATATAATAATTGTTTTGATTGTGGATTAAATTTACCCATTCCTAATTGTAATTTTTTGTCAGTATAGACTTCAGCATCAACAGTTACATCTGAAATACCATATAATAAACATAATCCACCTGCAGAAGGATTATCTACATATGTGAGTGTTTTAAATTTATAGTCAGAAACTGAGGGTGCAATGATAGTAGTATTATCTAATCCTTTTAATAAGTCCCACATAAAAAGAACTGTTTTTCCTTCTTCTGATGAAGAAGTAGAATCTTTTTTAGTAATTGGCTTTTGTGCAACTTCAGTTACCACTTTCCCATTTATAGACTCTTTTTTTACATTAGAAACTTGTATTACACATGAACATTTAGCTTGTCCTTTAGGGTCATTAGAACATCCTGTGAATTTAACTGTTCTAAATGAAAGTTAATATTCTTTTCTTCTACTTTTAAATTAAAATGGAACAAACAGACTAGTAGCATCTTGAGATATTTTTTTAATGACTTCCGTACCACTAGGAATAGCTCCATTTAACAAAGATCCATCTGATAAAGTTCCTTGAATTTCTATTTTATTAAATAAATTTTATTAATAAATTATAATTTCTTTTAAAACATAACAAACCAACGTCAGAACCACATCTATTCATGTAAAAATAATTATTTGAACCTGAAGGAAATGAGAAAGTTAATACTAATTCATCTCCACTGTACTCTGCTTTATAAAAAGTGTTAATTGGAACATCAGTTGCTAAACATAAGAGATTAAAACAAAAGAGAAATGGTATGAACATAAGTAACAATTAAAAATAGTAATAAAAAGTAGTTCAAACTCTGTTTGGCTTTTTTTAGCTTTTTCTTTTAAATAATTTATTAAATAATTTATTAATTGTTTAAAATAAATTATTTCTCAACTCATAACAAAATTATATTAAAATTAATTCATATTTTTCTGACAACATCATGTTTATCACTTTACTTAATTAAAAATTTATTCATTTCTAACTCTTTTTAAATAACTCCTTTTAATAATTTTATGAGTTATATTTCTAAGTTAATATTATTTAAGATAATTGCAGTATTAATTAAAAAGTTAATAATATTCTTATTAATTAAAGGATGTTGATTGTTTAATAATCAAAAACATTTAACTCTTTTCAAGAATCACAAATAAATACTTATTATTATCATAAAAAGTAATATAAACATAATAAATATAAACATTAAGAAAATAAGTAATTCCTTACTTTCTTTATGTTAAAAAAGGTATTTTGATGAATTATCCATGAAACCAACAAAAAGTGGATAATATCAGTGATGATATTATTTGGTTATTTTATTTGTGAACACTTTAAGAGAAGAGGAGGAATAATATATTTTTTTAGTGATTCAATTAATATATAAATTGTATTGTTTTTAACAATGACATAATAAAAATTATACAATACAAATTCAATTGAACCATGAATGAGTGAGACATTGAGCTGCACTTGCACGAGTTAATTCATTATAATCAAGCATTGGAAGAAGAAGTGAACTTATTTGTTTTGAGTCATGTTCTGAGAATTTGTATTTATCTCTTAAGACCATATCTAGTGGCCAATAAGACAGTTGGTTATTTGGTATTTTCTTAAGTCCATAGTCATTTGTAAAATATTTTCTTTTATAAGGAGAGTTGTCAATCATATTTCTTGGAATTGGTCCTAGAAGCTCAATAAATTGAGCAAAATGGTCTTCAACTTTGGAATAATGAGTTGTTTGCTTTGGAGCAAATAAAAAGTCACCAGTTAATAATTCAAAGATCATACAAGCATGAGACCAAACATCTGCAGGACATCCCCAGTGAAGTCCTAACATAACTTCTGGACAACGATATTGCCTAGTTTGAATATCATTTGTGAATCTTTTTTCAATCCAATTAGCATTACCAAAATCAGCTAACATAACTTTAATATTATTAGCAGGAGGAACTTGGTTTCTTCTTTTAATATGGTTATGGTCAATAACAAAATTTAATAATACATTTTCTGGTTTTAGGTCAGTATGAATAAGAGAACACTTAGTATGTAAATAGTTTAATGCAACTAATACTTGTCGTGATATTTCCTTTGTGATTTCTAACGGAATGCCATGGTAATGGTATAATTTAATTAAAGATAATAAATTACTTCCTCC